CTTTTCATTTTTGCATTTGTCTATGTTTTCGTATTATATACTCGCTTTTCAAATGTGTATTATATACATGTTCTGATTTTTCTATCGATCTTAACTTTTAAAATGTTGCCATACAGAACATATTTATTGTATTTTCTCCAAGATTTTAAGATGAATTATAGGCTGATGAAATAAGTTTATATCATGCCAATCAAGCAAGAGATGTGTTCAAATGTTTCATATTAAATTTCTACAGAATTTATGGAAAATTATTAGGAAACACAAAGATTAAGACATTGTACGTAATGCAAATCTGTGTTAGTTATCATATGGAAACAATTTCCTTTCTGCCTGTTTTTGTCTCTATAAAAGGCATTCTGGCATTAACGTATTTTATCTGCAATGCATAGTATATGATAATATTAAAAAATAAATGGAGAATGTGTCCATGGGACACAGATGATGCCCCCAATTGCATATAAAGTTGTACAGGGACATAACTGGAGAACTGTAAAAGTGACGCCACCTAAATTCGATTTTGATCTGTGTTTTACGGTTATAAGCATTGCGTATACGTTTCTTAACATTTTATTGCGGCAAACTTAAGTTAGAGAACGGAAACGACAAATTCAGCATTTTTTCCATTTAAAAAGGGGAATAACTCCTGAACGGTAAAAGTAACGCAATTTAAATTCATACTTGATCTGTGTTTTGTGGTAATAAACATTGTGTATAAGTTTCATAAAATTTGGTTGAGGCAAACTAAAATTAGAGAAGGAACTAATTTTGGAGCGTAAAGACGGACAAGGGTAACACTAAATGCCTCCTCAGCCGCGGCGAGGAATAAAAATAATACCCTAGCGCGGAGATAACTAACGTCATTCCCGACCACAAACCAAAATCTACTTTTGCATATCAGACGACCATTCAGATAAAGAAAGCATGTCTTAGGTTGAGACATAACCACATCGTATCGGTTTATACGATATATTTGGTTTACAGTTTGATTCAGAAGAAACACCGACATAGCTAGATAATACAATTAATTATCTAATTAAATTACTACCACAATTTGATATTAATAAGTATTGTAATTTTCATTGTTATTAATAAATGTAATGTCAGTATTACAAATCTAATCTTGAATCAATCCTAATCCTATCTTATTATTGGGCAATATTTTTACAAATCCAAATGTGACGTCACTTTGTGTGTTTTTTTAGAATTTCAAATGTGACGTCACTTTGTGCGTTGAGGCTTTGGCTAACTCGGCTGTGTATTTTTATGTGTTAGATTAAGTTGTTTTATGTAATGTATCCGTTTTTATTCTGTAGTTAGTCCCCACTTCGGTTTTATCTTGTATATCTATTATATAGTCATTTTATAAAATTGACTGTTTGCAAAATTATAAATTATTCTAAATAATAAGGATGTTCTTGTCCCAGGCAGAAAACCCTGGCCGTGATAGGCGCAACTTTTTGGAAGTTTTGGTCCTCAGTGCTCTTCAGCTTTGTACTTGTTTTGGTTTTCAAACTTTTTTCATCTGAGCGTCACTGGTTAGTCTTGTGTGGACGAGACGCACGTCTGGCGTATTGGATTTTAAACCTGGTGCATTTTGTTAGCTATTATTCGTGTGTTTCTTTGTCCTATATGTTCTCCCATTTATTTGTATTGTACTCCTGTCATGTAATGTTGTCATTTTAATGTTATATTTAACATTGCTACATATGAATACAAAAATAAACCGCCCACCTATTTGAATACAGTTGGTTTGTCAAAATATCTATCTACCAAACTCGACAAATATCTAAGACACATATATTCGATACAAATGTATCATCATAGGGCGTGTTTGCTGTTGGAGGAATCAGTGTGGTATCTTTAGGATGTAACTTTTTTATGACATAAATCAAGAAATGTTTATTCGATTCCCAATGTTGTAGGTAAACCATTGTTTGATGAACAGATAAAGACGATCTTGAAATTGAGCATGATGAATAGTTGCTAGAGTACAGTGAATAAAATAAAAATGTTCATACTGTTGATCAATTTCAATATTTTTAAAGAATTGAAGTCGATCTTTTAATTTTAAAATCCACATCTGATCGACAACGCTGATTGAGTATACTGTCATCACAGTAAATTTGAAACCTACATTAGACTGTTGGAAGAACAATAATAAGGAACTTACAAAGATGTATAACTGTATCTTCTTTCACTCTACTGGATACTTAATGCAAATTATATTGATAGGTCGATTGAATCAAGCTTCATTACATCAATTTTCCACATTAAATTATTAGTTTTTTTCATCAACAATAAATAAACTGGACTTAACAAATTACAAAGCTGGTATTTTTATGAATCCCTGACACAAAGTTCTGGTTAAATCATGTTCAATGAAGCAGCAAACGAAATTTAGCCTTTACAAGGAAAGATTCAATGAATTTGAACAATAACTTGGTGTTGTGGCCCATATTGGACAGTAGCAATTGAAACATGAGGGGGTGCAATTAGGCCCACAAATTCTTTTAAAACAAAAATAAATTGTTCTTAATCTAACTTTTGCATGTATTGTGTACTCATTTTGAAATTGAAAATGAAAGTAAAGTAAAGTTAATATAGGAAATTATTTTTTTCACCTCCGAGATTAGAACACGCAATCTTCCTCCTGTGGGTTGGTTCAGCTTTCCAGTTAAGTTAAGAACGTGAAGGAGTTAATCTCATGTTCCTTTATCGCCTCTCACTGTATAATTTAATGTTGATTAAGCTTATAATCATTCTGTTGTTGATCAATTATTGTTGACAGTATTTTTGGTGATGAATATCAGTTTGAAAATTAACTAGATATCATTGAGATGGGAGCCATCTCTGTGGGCCCCACTGTGAATAATGTGTGGTAAAAAATGTGTATCTTTATCATTGGACATGGGGTTGTCAACTGAAACTGAAGTTTATGACCTTGACCTTTGACCTAGGAAGTTGTACATACATTATGACACACCCTCTGGTGTTGGTTTATATACATGTCAAGTATAAACTTTGAAATCATAACGGTTCTCAAGATATAGAGCGGACATGATCTTTACCATAGGACATGGGGTTGTCAACTAAAACCAAAGTTTTTGACCTTGACCTTTGACCTAGGAAGTTGTACATACATTATGACACACCGTTTGGTGTTGGTTTATATATATGTCAAGTATAAACTTTGAAATCATAACGGTTCTCATGATATAGAGCGGACACAATCTTTACCATAGGACATGGGGTTGTCAACTAAATCCAAAGTTTTTGACCTTGACCTTTGACCTAGTTAGTTGTACATACATTATGACACACCCTCTGGTGTTGGTTAATATACATGTCAAGTATAAACTTTGAAATCATAACGGTTCTCTAGATATAGAGCGGACACAATTTGTAACGGACGGACGGACAGACTGATCACTATAGGGCGTCCGCCATTCAGCTGGGCCCTAATTAACGACTTAAGATACTGATGAGTACAAAGTTCTGAAATTAATAATAGGGTTCAAGATATACCCATTTCTAGAATGAAAAATAAACCCCAAGTACTTGCAAAGCGGTTTGTGTTCATACCGGCAGACAAAGCAGCCAATAATGTAGTGGTGGTGTGACGCATATACTACACGGAAGTTCTCAAAAACGAAATTATCAATTCTTCTACATTCAGGTCTGTACGCTCCACAGAGAGTCAAATTGTAAACAAGCATGTCACTGCCACTACACAGAATAAAAAATAAACCCCAAGTACTTGCAAAGCGGTTTGTGTTCATACTGGCAGACAAAGCAGCCAATAATGTAGTGGTGGTGTGACGCATATACTACACGGAAGTTCTCAATAACGAAATTATCAATTCTTCTACATTCAGGTCTGTACGCTCCACAGAGAGTCAAATTGTAAACAAGCATGTCACTGCCACTACACAGATAAAAGCCTCTTCCGAACATTTGATAGTCCCGACTATGTACTGATTACTTAAATTGCACAAACAACCAAAGTAGTAATTTCTTCAGCAAAATTTTCAAAATATTGTAACAATTATTGAATTTAACCTATATCTTTGGAACTTCCCAGAAAGTTTGCAAACCTGTTGAGGTTGTGCACCTTCCAGTATGGAGTTGTTTAAATTTTTTCCTGTTTTCCCATTTTGCATTTCCATAAGTATAGACCACTCATCATCATTTAAGGAATATTCTGACATAATTTTGAACATTTGACTCTTTGATACAATTTCTATAAGTATTGCAGATATTTATAATAACTGCCTTCAATTGTTAAGAATGCATTTTAGAAATGACTACTGTCCAGCACACTTTCAATATAGATGCCCTCTGCATGAGCTTATTCAATTATTTCTTTAAAAAAAAATGAAAAAATCCTTTTACTGAGTATACTCTTTTCTTTTGTAGAAAGTTAAATATTCTTTCCAAGTTTACAAAATGTCGGTACATAAAATAATGCAGGAGAAAGGTGGAATTTGCTGGTATGTTTCATTTCATCATTTATATTAAAGAGAGGATTACGATACCAAAGGGACATTCAAATTCATAAGTCAACAAGTGAAACTGCTAGCTACTGCTCACTAATGATACCCCCAGCCCAAATACCTGACGGTAAACAGGAAGTTGTTGATTGATGAATCTGAAAATACATCACACAGTATAGCTGACTTATATAAACACTGAAACCAAATTTCAGAAATCCTTGTAATGTAGTTCCTGCGAAAAATGTGACGAAAATTTTCAACTTGGATGTCATGTGTAAAATGATATAAGTGTTCTGTAAACAGGAAGTCATTAAGTGATGAATCTGAAAACGCATCACACGGTATAGCTGACTCATATAACCCCTGAAACCAAATTTCAGAAATCCTTGCAATGCAGTTCCTGAGAAAGATGCGACTAAAAATATTCATGGGACGGACGGACAGACAGACAGAGGTAAAACAGTATATAAAAACAAACTAACAAAGCCATGGCAAAAACTGTATGACTAAGACTTTCTCCATGTATCGTTTTATCATATGCAACAAATTGGTTATAAAAAATTAAGCTAATAATAATTAATCTGAAAGACACTGAAATGATAACTCATTTTTTAACATTTTTCTTTACATCATGTTTAACAAGCTTTGGCATTAAATAATATAACTATATAGTTATCAACGATAAAATAAATAAATAAATCTGTTTACAGAGAAAAATATTTGACCCTTGAATATTTTTTGCAATAAATAAATTATCCAAGGCTTTAAAAAAGTTTGTATATATTATGACCAGACATTGTAGGTTATCAGCCACATGTCACATTAAAAGCTGGATAGGTATGCTAGATGGGCCAGTGAAATTGGTTTCCAAGTCCATATAATCATCACCATATAGTGTTAAGAATAAAAAACATCACATGAACAAATCATCAAAATTTCAATTACATTGTTCCAAATAAGAAATAGATTCTTTAAAAAAAAAATTGGCAAAAAAAGTTAGGACATTCAGAAAAGCAAGAAATTTATGATGTAAATCCTTAAATTGTGCAGCGAAGTTAGTATACTCTTTTTAAATTTTAATCACATTATTTGTATGCAGTATAATTTTAAGGAGATATGATATGGGTATGTCCTTAAGGAAGTTCGCTACTCAGTTTCAAAATAACAAGATTTTCATAACACTAGTATATATTGATAGGGGATAAATAAAGGAACAAAAAGAGCAAAAATAAAATATAGGTCAATGTGCTTATTTTCGAGATATTAGCCATTGAAATTTTGGCGGGAAAATATTCTCTCTTGATTTTTCATAGCTTTATCATTGACAAGTTAAAGTTCTCAAAAACTATTAAAAAGTAACAAAGATTTTATGAGACTTTTACAGATGGCTTATAATTATACATGTAAATGATTTATAAAAAGAAAAATGGGGGTTTGTGGGCAAAATTTTTTAAGGCATTCAAATGGCTAAAACCAGAGAATTCCGAAAATCTGACAAAAATTCCAAAACATGACAAGCGAACATCCTTAAATCATGTATAATATTCTCATTTTATTTGTCTGTACATCAACAAGTGTGATAAAAAAGCACAGCATGTTCCTCAATTTGAAGTTATTAACATATTCATGAGTAGACTATGGAAAATTAAATTGTAAAAATATAAAACATACAATTATAGTTTGAAACCTGTGTTTTCCCAATGGATATTCAATTGCATCTTAGCATAGAGGAAATTTAAACAGTTTCTTTCTCCTGAAAAAACATATGGGTGAATCAAATTTTATGATGATACCTTAGAAAACATTTGAGATGAGATCAGGTTAAAAAATTACAGCATCTTGGAAACTGTTTTCTTAAAATTCCTAAGGGAAAACACTGGCTAAGCTTCAAACATGTTTTCTGATTGTCTAATAATTATAAATCAAGCATAATGTTTTTGGCACTGGGTGTCTATTTGACTGAATAATTACTACATATATCAAAATTAGTCTTTTCTGGTTGTACTGAGGATTAATTATCATTCATTTGATATCGATGTTTGTTTATTTCCTTGTTAAAGGTAAACCACGAATTTAATTGTTGAACAAGTATGTTATAGGTTTGTATGGAAACTTTGGTAAATCCACCAAATCAAGGTTACCACGAAAAATACCATTTTTCTTCAATCCACGAAAATTGGTACACATGAAAACTGATGAATCCACAGTATACATATCATTGTGCAAACTTAAATTATTTTCATCAGAAATGGAATCTATAAAAGCATTTGATAAAAAATTTTATAAAAATAATTAAAATTGACTTTATAAACTTGTACATCAGAGAATCTTTTCTTTAATTAAAAATCTTTTAGCATCTTTAAATCCTTGATTATAATATTGCATTAATACTTTATTTGATGGTGGGATCATAGCATGACTGAAACGTATGAGATTGTTCTTGTTTACTTGGAATCCCTGATTGTTAACACTGACATACCATTCTTTACCAAGTTTATCATTCGGTGATATGTCTTGACGACCACAAAATGGGGACACCTGAATTGTTCTTTCATTTTTAAAAACCACCATATTGTCAGTAATTCCTCCATCCATGTAATTCTGTCCATCTATTTTTACTGGAAGTCTACTGGCATAGAGAGGTATATGACTGCTGGCAAGTAGGCACTGAAACAAATAAACAAAATAATATAATCCTACTTTCCAAATTATGTGCTGTTTTTATTTCACTGTTCAAGCTTATGGTTATCCTGCTTGCAGCTGCATTTTACAGGTTAATCCTGTGTTTTATTTTTATGACTTATGGTGTAGATATGCAGAGATAAGGGAGCTAGGCATGTAAAACTGGCTTTACCCTATTTTGTGTCGATATATTTACAAAGTCAGGCTATTTGTACAATGTAATTTTCCGTGTCGTTTTTCCTTATTTTTTTTCCGGAGGAATTCCATCAGGAATGCTCAACACAAAAAATTTGTAAAGCTAAATACATATTGGAAGGTTGATAAACCAACATGATATTTACTGACAGCCATAGACACGTTTACAGATTTTAAGTCAACAGGTTCATGTACTGCCTAAAAAGATCAAACAATATACTTCAATCTGTGAGAAATTATTTAGACATGAAAAAGAGAAAATGAAAAGACAGGAAAAAAAGCTAATTATGGATCAGAAATTTATTTGTCTGCTATTTCTCTCAGGAACAATCAGGTACAAAAACTGAAAAATTGAAACAACAGACATTATTTTATTATACTCTTAAGTACTGTATAAAGATAGAATGCTTAAATGTAAACTGAACAGATCATCAAATGACTATTTCAAGCACAACTTTTCTTAAATAACTTGACAAATACAACCAGAGATTGTCTTGAGACTACATAGGACTGGATGAAACTAAAAACTATTTCTAGTAATAGGATCATAATGAGGCCAAAAGTAGGTCAACTTGAAATAAATGTACATGTCATCCGTCACTACTTAAAATACACGACTTTAAACAATAAATAACTGGAAGTTAAATTATGAAAAAAGTTAAACACATCTTTAATTTTATCTGTTTTACATTATGTTTTATTTTATTTACAGCTGGTTGATCAATAGGTACATTCAAAAATCGAAATTTGAAAAACTAAGATACTCTCATAAAAACTCTAACCATGTTTGGTATGGTGAACTATTTCATTTAACTTGTGCTGAGACAGATTTTTACCCCCACATCTCTAACTTTTACTTTTTGTGTAACTTACCTTTATTAAATGTTCTCTTGATTGATACTGATGGACAAGAACATTTTTCCTGGTTCTTGTATTGGTTAATGATATGTATAGTTTCCCTGATGCTTTATGATGAGCATCTTCAGGTAACATTGTATTTAAAAATGTCTTTATAGAGTCCAATAAATTATAACCTGGTGTAAGAGCTCCTAGTGGTTTAGACTTCACTTCTTTGGCTAATCCATAGGTAAAATTTTTACATTCCTGCAAATCATAAAATAAATATCTTTAATAAGATCCCTTAAATATGAATGAAAAATCAAAATGAAATCCATATTTGATTGATCAAAAATAAACCTCTTTGAATGAGTATAGAAGTAATTAGTTTTATAGTATATGGATTAAAGCAGATGTGGATATACACCAATGAAACAGCAACAGAATGACACAAACAAAAATCAAAGTCTGGAAGTGCTGAAAAGGCAGTTTGTGACTTCTAGTTTTCTATCCAAATGTAATGGAATCACACATGATAAAACTGTATTTATCAATTTAGATGATTCAATTCATCGGTTTATTCCCAATTGTCCCACATTATTTTATGAAGTAAAATGTTCTTAAATAAACAAGGTAGCTATTGTTTGTTTTGCTCAATAAACAATAACAAATTTTTGCATGTTCAAACTATTATTCAATATAAATTTTATAAAAGTATAAAATATGATTTTTACAATTTTGTTGTAAATCATCAAATTAATGCACTTTTGACTAAATAATTTAACATTTATGAGTTATGAAATATATCTATAATGTTACGTTATAAAAGAAATATCAATACCATAATTTTAATTAGATTTTTTTTTAAAAGTTTTTTAAATAAATTTAGAAATAATGCATGCAATTGAAACAAATAAAAGGATAAATAACTTATTTACACTGAACACTCTACATGCACTTGTTGATGGAGAGATGTTCCAATAGTCTTTGCACTTTTACCAGGGAAGTCAGAGGCCATTTACACAATTTACACATGCATAAATAGAAGACATCTAGAATGCACTAGAAGACCTGGAAAATTTCGGAATCAACAGCAAATACCACTCTGTTACGGACCACGTCACAACATACTGGATTGAAAGCAAGAGGCAGCTATGGAACCATTACCAAACCGAGGGACCAAGGACGACAAACAACCTCGAAGGATAGAACAGCAGCTTGAAAATGGTGATACCACACCCAAACATACATGACATATGCATTGTACACGCTTAAAGAAGAACAGACAGCAAACGAAGTGACCATTATTCAGTACCAAGCCGAGGAAGTACGATCAAAAAAGAGAAGTAAATACACAGAACTCAATCAACACCTACATAAGAATTCAAAGATCATCTTCAGATGGTGAAGTTACAGTTTTTCGGTATGTTAACACATTGCCTCTTATTTGTTACACTTGGACTAAATTTGCTGCAATTATATGTGTTGTGATGTTTATATTATGTATTATGCATGCTTTATTGTTGTACCTTCTGCATTGTATGTGCTTTATAGAATCTGCTCTTCATGTCATGTGTGTGCTTTAATGAATTATAAAAATAAGAAGATGTGGTATGATTGCCAATGAGACAACTCTCCACAAGAGACCAAATGACACAGAATTTAACAACTTATGTGTGCTTTATTGTATTAAGCTGTTTATATTGTGTGCTTAATTGTAACTCTTTAGTACACATTGATGTTGAATTGAGTAGTGCTTGATATGTGATATATTATGACTTAATATTATATTCTATGTTTGGTGATACATGTAATGCAATTCTAATATTCTGTGCAAAATAAAATATGTAAACATTATTGGTTTATTCCCGATTGTCCCACTTTTTAAAATTTTAGAGTTCTGATTGTCCCACATTATTTTATGAAATAAAATGTTCTTAGATAAACAAGGTAGCTATTGTTTGTTTTGCTAAATAAACAAGAATTTATAATTGCATGTTCAAACTATTATTCAATATTAATTTAATAAAAAGTAAATTTTTTTTTTTTAAATCATTAGATTAATGTACTTTTGATTAAATGATATATTTTTGACTTATGAAATATATCTACAATGTTTCGTTAAATTTATGAAAAAAAAATGTCAATACTGTAATTTAACTTAACTTTTCTCTAAACAATGCTAAAGTTTTTTAAATAAATTTAGAAATAATGCATGCATCCGATTGTCCCACATTTAAGCTTCCCAATTGTCCCACAAACATTTTCCCGATTGTCCCACAAAATTTCATTACTTTTTTACCTGTAATTTCAAAAAGAAGGACAATCGGGAAGACACCAATTCATCCTTTAAACTCTTTTCAGAAATGTTTATTGGTAATTGAGATTTGAAAACAGTTATTTTTTTTCCTCAAATTGTATCGATTGATTGATTGATTGTTGGTGTTTTAACGCCACTTTTAAGCGCTACATTTGGGCTATTTCGTGTTGGCCAGTTTTTATTGGTGGAGGAAGCCGGAGTGGAAGGAGAAAACCACCGACCTTCGATAGGAAAACTGACAATCCTAGTCAATTAAGATTGGAGTCAAGTGCACCCGCACGAGCGGGATTTGAACTCACAACCTCAGTGTTGACAGCTAGTGATAACAGTAGTAGAACTACATGTACTTAGACCACTTGGCCATCGAAGCCCCAAAAATTGCATGGATAGGGGTAAATTAATATGCCCCCGATATTTTGTCACAAGGGCATAAATATGATGATTTACTCCAACTGCTAGTCAGAAGAAACCTAGTATAATAAATCTGATTTAATTTGTAAATTAAAATCATGGAAATTTCTATTTTTTTATTCATTGTATCATGCAGACGTAAGTAGTACATGTAGTATGGACATCATTTTGATGGTTAAAAACGTTATAAATAAATAAAATGTACTGTCTTACTTGCTTACAATGAGAACAAACATCAATCATACCTCTATCTTACTATCATCAATTACCAGGACAGAAGCAACCAATGACCCAGCACTAGCACCTGCTACTTTCTGTATGCTAGATAGAAATGAAGAACCATGCTGTTTGAGACATGCAGCTACTCCTAAGTGATAAATACCCAGGAATCCACATCCACATAAGGATAGATTCATCTCATCTTCATAGTTACTGTAAAACAGAAAGATCTATACATGTATAAAGCCGCTATACATGTACATGAGTGATAAATACCCAGGAATCCACATCCATATACATGATATAGGGATTAGAGTTAGGAATCGGCTTGAAAATTATAATTAATTAATCAGAATAATTAGGCAGCATGCTCCGATTCAATCTTTAATTATAATCTGCTTTTGATTTATATGCAAATAAAGAAGGAGTTTAGAAACACACTTTGACTTTTGTAACATTTTTTTATATCATGAAAAGTATTCCAGAATTGGCAGTACCTAAATTAGCATACTGTATGTACATATATACTGATGTACATAACAACCAGTATAACGTACCAATCTTTCAAGTTAGATATCTTTTACTATGTTGATTCTATACTGGTTGTTGCATTTAACATGTTTAAGAGATTAGTTAATTTTTTTACTGCTTTTATGCATAATCAAATTGTAATTATCATGATTATACTGATAAACACCCACATGTCATTATTACTCCAGTACAAAATCTTCTTTTTTGGACTTTAATGGGCATTTTTTTCCATTCAAGTAGAAGGACTTGGGTGTATAAATAAACTTAGTCAGGTAAAATCTTTGAGATGCTCCAGCAGGTAACGATTGTTTTGTACTCTATTTGTTGATATGGATATGGGCAATAGATATCTACAATAGGCGATTTAAACTAGTGTGTAGCTGAGCAGACAGTATCAATATAATTTAGGTGTTGCACCATTCAGAATGGTTGTATTTAAAAACCTGGTGGGTATTTAAAAAATCCCAGGTGAGAGGTGAAATTTACGGGTGTCACCCACAGAATACAGGTCAGTTGACAGGTATGCATTCTGGACTAGTAGTTGGAAAAGATTTGGTGCAGATTGCACCATGTTAGGTAACTTAGGTTACATAGTATTTTACAATTTTATGTAATTAAAAGAATTATGATGTTTAAAAGGCTTAACAATTTTTTGGTGTGACTCCGTAATTATTTAGACAAAAAAATGCCCAGAGCAAAATTCAATAGATTTATCGTTCTGAAATATAAAATGCATTTAACTTTTATATACCTAGAGAATGCTAGGCCTTGAAACTTTTCCAACTACACAGGTTTGTCTGTACTCTGGGAGTTATTTTCGAGGTGTAAACCCAGCCCATTTGAGCCATGATGGCATCATGGACATAATTTCTAGAACCTCAACTTGTAACGGCATAGGCGGACCCGAGGGGGGGGCCTTTCGTGGGGAAAATTGGGTAGATTATATAGGGAATCACTGAAGCATGACTGTAGCGGGGCCCCCTCTTATGCCATGGCAGTCAGTAGGCCCCCCCTTTAAAAAGTTCTGGATCCGCCACTGAACTGTGTGTCTCGTAGACCACGGGTTAGGCAATGATGACCTTCCACAATTTCAGTGAAACACATTTGCTTTTATAATTCAGTTACAGTATGCGTGTTTTATATTTGGGACTACATGTGGAAGATTTATCATTTTACCTTTTGTACTTAGTTGTGTTTTATTAGATTTATTTCCCCTTTATTTCGGATGCGGATTAGTTATGTGATCTTTTCCGGATTTTTTTACGATGTGTGTGTTACCTTTCCAAAAATTTATCTTCTGTTTCTTCCATTTTATTATTTTACGTCTAAATTCATTATTCCATTCAAAAATGTTTATAACTACGTCTTTGGTCCATTTAAAACTAACTCGCTCTGCTGGGGAGATATTTAAAAATATGTAGTTGTTATGGGTTGGTATTAATGGAAGTGCTTGGTGATGAAAATCACGTGACTGACTAATCCTGAAGACTTGTGAGATTTTTAATATACTGAACATAAAACCTGAGACTATTATAACACACAATTGAATTTTCCTTGTTGTGCGATATAGCTAAATTGTAACTAATATCTAAATGGTCAGTTTTTTGCTTTGTCAGATAATTTTTAGCTTTATTAAGGCACTAGAATAACAAGGGCACTAGAATTTAATTCAGAAATTGCGCCAATACTAATAATAAATAAAATTCTTTATTTAACGAAGGTAACACATTTAACAATTACATGTTAATCTTCCATGAGGCCTTCAAAAACTATTAATACAAATAGAAAAGAAAAAAAAAACCAAAAAACCAAAATACATACAAAATAAAATACACAATACTGTTATACATAGCAGCTTAAATATTGAATAAGTACATATGCATTCAATAGAAGAAGAAAAAATACATTAGAATCAAGCATCTTCATTCTGTACAGTTTGAAAATAGTTTGAACATTTGATCTTAAATGTATCTAAATTATTTATTTCTTTAATATTATTTGGTAAATTATTCCAAGTAATAAGACCAGAATATTTAAATGTTCTTTTTAAAAATTCAGAATTAGGTCTTGGTACATGAAGAAGTCTTGACGTTGTCGACCTGAGACAATAATTATAAAGATCAGTACAAGCAGTAAATTTAATAGATAGATAATCAGGTGCTAGACCATTCATACATTTAAACATTAACACAGCTTGAAAATATTGTATTCTTGTAAATATAGTCATCCATGCAAGCTTTTTAAACATTAATGTTGATGGAAAATCAAAAGAAACAGATAAAACTAATCTTGCAGCACGTTTTTGGAGCTTATGTATCCTCTCCAGATTACAGTTTGTGGTAAGACCCCATACTGTACAACAGTAGTCAATAATGGGTAATATATAGCTATTGTAAAAAAGAATAAGACCTTTTAACGGTAAATAACGTTTCAACCTTTTTAACAGGTATATTCTGGTTGAAATAGTTTCGCATATTTTATCAATTTGATTTGACCATGATAGATTTTTATCAATATGAATTCCAAGAAGTTTTTCAACTTCAACATTATCTAAAGTGATATTATCTTGTGATAAAACACATAAACATTCATTGCAGCTTTCCAGTTTTCTGGCTGATCCAACAAGCATACATTTTGATTTCTTGCTATTTATCATCATATCATTTTCTTTACACCATTTAATAACATTGTCTAAGTCTTTATTCAAACATATATTTAAATTTACAATAGATTTAGATGACAAATGTAAAGTTGTATCATCAGCATATAGATCAGATTCTGTATATTCTAAGGTTAATGGTAAGTCATTGATATAAATAAGGAACAATAAAGGTCCAAGTATAGAACCTTGGGGAACTCCAAAAGTTACAGTTTTATATTCTGATTCGGTGGTTCCTAACTTAACTTTTTGCATTCTCTGAGAGAGGTATGATGAAAACCATTTTACAGAGTGTTCATCACAATTGTATAATTTTAGTTTAGATAAAAGTATATTGTGATTTACTGTATCAAATGCCTTCTTAAAATCTAAAAAAAGAACAGCGGTAAAATTTCCATTGTCCAATTCCTCTAACCATTTATCAATTATTTTAATGAGTGCTGTATGACAAGAATGTTTTTCTCTAAATCCAGACTGCTGTTGTATTAATAATTTGTGTGTGGTTAAGAATAAATATAGTTGTTTAAAGACAGTTTTTTCAAATAACTTGGACACAGTGGGTAAAATTGAAATGGGTCGATAATTGTTTGGATCTGTTTTATCCCCTCCTTTAAATATGGGAGCAACTTTAGCAAATTTTAATATATTAGGAAATATTCCTGTACATAAACTAAGGTTTATTATGTGAGCAAGGGGGCTTGCTACAATCGATCTTGATAATTTTAAAATTCTTGGTCCAACACCATCAGTTCCGGTTGATTTAGTTATGTCTAGATTTTTTAGAGCTTGTAGAACCTCATCATTTGTGACAGTATATAATGAGAATTTAGCATCATCATTTATTTTTGATTTGACATAGTTGTTAATTTTCTCAGATTTAAAAAATTTTGTGAGGATTTGATATCAGCTTATCACCTACTGTGCTAAAATGATCATTTAAGCAGTTAGCAATATCATTTTTGTTTATAAGTACTTTTCCTTCGTGTGTTAAAATGTCAATTTCCTGTTTTGTTGTTGAATTCATATCCTTCAAATGAGGATTTCTTTTTGTCGAGTAGCAAGTATCGAGTTATAAAAAGTGAGTATCGAGTTGCAAAAAGCGAGTATCGAGTAATAAAAATGTGAGTATCAAGTAGCTAAAAGTGAGTATCGAGTTATAAAAAGTGAGTATCGAGTAGCAAAAAGTGAGTATCGAGTTGTCAAAAGTGAGTATCGAGTAACAAAAAGTGAGTATCGAGTTATAAAAAGTGAGTATCGAGTTATGAAAAGTGAGTATCGAGTAGCAAAAAGTGAGTATCGAGTTATAAAAAGTGAGTATCGAGTAGCAAAAAGTGAGTATCGAGTAGCAAAATTAATAACCAACAAAAACATTATTTGTAAATAGAATTGTTTTAACAAAAAAATATCCAATTTATTAATCGAATCATAATGTACAATTTACAACATAGAGAGGGGTGCAGGTTTGATACTGTCGCATTGCGTGCTTCACGCCAACTGGTCAACTGTAATTTTCTCGTCCTCTGAAGGAATATGAAGTAAAACCTTTGGTTCCATTGCATTTCTGTGCTGTAGTTGATTTAAACAAGACTTAGAAGTATGTAGATAAGGAATTAAACTGAGTTGATATATAATTAATTAATATGGGTATAGACAAATGTCTGTGATATGACTTTTTCAGCATCTCCCTTGAAATAGCAATTGTCCCATTATTCTGAGTCCCATATACAGTCAAACCTGTATTTAGGGGACCACTAAAAGGAGAAGGCAAAAGTGGTTTCTTAACACAATTGGTCTTTGAATACAGGTTCACCAATTTTAATAGAAGGAATCATGTATGTCCATTATAACTTGTGATCGTACAAGTGTAAGTAAACAATACTGTTTTGGCCTCATATACATGTATATCTGCTATGACTAATTATGGGAACTGTTCATTAAATATGATATTAAATTTAATCTTTTCCTTTTGTATTTTCTTTAAGTTTTTTACATACAACAAGACAAGGTGTTTGTTATATTATCA